TGATAAAAAACGATTTAGGGAAACAATAAAGCGTATTGCAAATGGCTTTCAACGATACGGTATAACGATAATTACCACGCGAATATCATTCTGCTCTTTATAATCATCATTTTGTATGATGAATGCGTCGTGTAAATGAGGGGTAAGCCGAAAAGCTGGGAGGCACTTGACAGCTGTTTCGACCTGGTTGGGTCTCATCAGCAATGCAAATCCATCGACGCAACTGGTGATCGAACCCGAGACCCCACAGGAAGAACGCCAGCGAACTATCTACTCGGCCACCGGGGAGCTGATCTGACCGTTGTTCATTTTCCGTTTACGCGATATAACCCAGTGTCCCTGTAGACCAGTGGGTATCATGTTTACCTTCTGTCTGCGAAGTCCCGGAGTCGATCACCAGTTGGGTCGATTGATTAGAACTGCTTATGAGACCCAACCAGTTCGAAACAGCTGTGCATTGCTTACCAGCATTTCAGTTCACGCCTCATTCACACGAATAATTCATACCATAAACAAATCAAATACTCCATTACCTTCAATAGTTCTTTTCCACTTCTTGACCAAAATAACAATTCAAAATATAATCAAAGCTTACACTGAATGAAAAGTTCAATACGTTATAATTTGTAGGAACCATTGCTTTCAATCTCCTTGGTCTCTAAAATGCAAAACAATCTCGTATTTATACACGAAACTTTTAATAATTACACGGGTTCAACTGAAACATTTTAGGAGATCAAATATTCCTGCCACGTTCAAATAGGGTTTTAACTATACATCTTTTGGATGCCAAAGGAGCGAAATTAGAAAACCTTTAATATTGTCCACTGCACGTGGTCTTCTGGTCGACAAATGCAAATTGTGTGATAACTTTCCCCATCCTAAAGATTATTTGCACGATCAGCAAAAGAAAACTAACAGAATCGTATTTTAAATAAAAAATTTGTACCATTAACTGTACTCATCACATCGGTAGCGAGATTTTGAATATCGTTGTTTTAAATGCAACCTAAACAAATGGGATACTTCATGATTCGGTTGTGGCAACTTCCCCTATGTTTGGTAGCTGCCATTACCGACCAATAATTGCCGGTGACTATGAAATTAAACATTTCCAAGGACACCAACCAACCAAATCTAGGTTTTCAAATATCTAGGGTGGTTTAAAAGCTGGTTGTCTACGATATTTGTCCAAGCGGGGCCTGCCTCAACGTAAAATGCACATTGACCAAGTTCGCCGGTGAAAATTGGAGAACACCACAGCTTTTTAAATGCGATGGAAATGTTTGCGATAACCAAAACGGAGCACTGGACAGCTGTTTTGTCCTGTTTGGTACACGATAGCGGTGCGCACGTTTTGTGTCCCTGTCAGGATTCGAACCGCGATCAGTCGGGTCTGGACTTCAAACCCTTACCTTTGAGCTACACGGTCGACGGTTAACACCTTGTACGAATGGCTCAATCAATTTGGATTGTTAATGTTTGGATTATCCCAAGTAGTGAAACCCACAACTAACATCATCAACAGTTCCTGGTGTCTGTGAAAAACCGAATAGGCTAATGCAAACATTGCTTACCTAAATATCACAGCTATCTATGAAATTCAAAAAACACTTGAATGATGAACGATCACGATTACTCCAAACCATTCGCCCAAAGTCAGAACAACCCTTCGGGTTTTCCAGCAAGGAGAATATAGTTATTTAATTTTTTCGGACACAGATGGGACACATTTTAGGAAGCAAAAACAATAGGACCCTCATGTGATACAAAGTGAGAGACTGCATGTATGTCCATCCCTTTCTTGTTTTATTTTTGGAACTCAAAACTTACACTCAATCACACCAGTATCTTCATGTTACTAGTAAAAAATGAATTCTTGAACTGATTCTAACTGTGTACCACGTTGTTTTCAATTTTTTCTCGTTTCCACTCCATTGCCGTGCTCGATCGCAAACAGTTTTGTGGACAATTCACGCAAATCAGTATCCCCTGGCATCTGGCTCGGAACAACCGGATCCAACCGGGATTATTCAGCTCCATCCAGAAAGTCAAGCGGTCACACTGAACAGCACCGTACGATTGCAGTGTCGTGTCCGAATCCTCATCGATCCGACTACGGGGACCGGGGCGCAGGTGTACTGGTCCAAGAACGACTTCGGTATCGGTGGTAGTCGGGATGATATCCAGGAATACGGACGATCACCCAGATACAAATATTCCCGGTATGACTTGCCGTACAATTTGAAGGATGGTGAGTTTGTATTGCAGTTTCACTTCAGCTCCTTCCGTCGCAAACTAATTCAACGTATTTTAATGACCGATCATCCAGTTAAATGGTTTGAATATTCACTGGAACGTGTCAAAAGACTCATTACTAACTGAAACTATGTCAGTTCAACTGAGTAGCATCACCAGGGCAGCTCATCACAGACTAGAATCCATCCTAAGTCCCTTAATATTTCTCGGAGTGATGATCACATGATCACAATCGGGGATGTACTTACAAGCTTGGGAGGGAGGAGTGTTTAACCTCAATCCCGTATAGTTTACTATTTAGGTTGAATGAACAAACAGGTGTCAACGTAATCTTGCCAAAAGCCGTTCAATATAAAGGCAGGCATTTAATGAAATGTATTAATTGCATATACATTAAAACAAAATCAAATATAATCGACAATTTATTCCAACTGATCTTTGTACGATGAGTGAAGCGTGTACAGTATTTGCTTAAGCGACACGGTTCAACTCCTCTCGAAGTGCACACTCAGCCAGGTCGATATGGGCTATGTAATACCGACCTCCATTTTTGATGTTTCCAGTTGATGATGTACGCGTGTATAGAGGTATAACTTTCTAGAAAGATGAGATCATTGCATCGGACGATTTTACGTTGTGCAGTGAAGTTTTTCAACAAATTTACTCTTTTTTAACTGATGAAGATACGCTGCATGTCAGAGAAAGTAATCGGCTGAGGACAAAGAACAGTTCCACATAAATTATGTACTATAAATCATAAGAAATAAATAACAATAATAATGAATTAGCTTATGAGCTCACTACATAATTCGATGAATTCATGTTCAATGAACAGTTTAATTGACAACAAATTGCTTATTTTGTTTTCTAAGTTGATATGGCATTTATACGCGGCTGTGATCCACTTGAGTATTGGATAGAAAACATTCCAGGCCAGTCAAAAGAATAACTGACATCGGGATAGGAAAACTCTAACCACGGTGGGACTGGCTCATATAGGTTCCGGTAGGATCTCGAGATGCGGACCTCGGGATCCGCCTAACGGATAGTTAGAGAGACACTGATTGATATAGCTAAGTGTTGCAAACCTTGAAGCTTGTAAACTTCCTCCATCCTTTTCAATCTTATTGTACCAGAATTATCAATCTCTTTGTCATTGCTCTCAATTATTCCAGTCTTCCTTCTACTCTTTTATCCAAGTGATTGACCAAAATACAGTAATAAAAACCGTCGCATGAAAATACAAATTCATGGGTTGTAAAAATTGAAAAGGAACTGAATTTCCTGAAAGCAATCAGAATCGTGTTTAGACTACCCGAGAAAGCACGGTGTTTGTCACACATGTGTGGCACGCGACGGTTAAATTATTAAACCGTGATTATAGAGTCGATCCAAATCTAACACGTTTGCAACTTAAAACATTAAATGGTTACCCATTCTCTTCTTAATAAATAAAATAAATAGGAATTATTTCTGGACTATGAACAACAGATATTCAGCGTTATTTTTCTCAGTCTTGGTGAATCCATGTCCCCCTGAGACACCGGAAGTGTCGTCATGACTATGAACTGGCCGAGGAACCGGATGTGATTTACGCACGCGAGGCGGAGATGTGTGCTAGTGCTTGGCGAAACTAATCGCCAGGAATCGACTTCACGGTTTCACGAACCACTCAGACAAGTGACGACAAGCCTCAATCACCGTTTGTGTTTGTAATAATTCTCAGTCGATCGACACCATTTTAGGACCATGGGATTAAGTATTTGTTCATCAAACATTCCCCAAAACATGAAAGCTGTGCTTAAATATCTCGCACCCACAAACTTGTCACAGATCTAAAACAGCCACTGATAAACTGCTTCTATCTGTATTCTACGTGTGTATTTTTGTGTGGTATTGAGAGAACAAATTTACTTATGTTAGTTAACCTGTGCGTCCACATTGCGTCCAATAAACGGGCGAAACGTGCATCACAACCCGGCCGAAATGCAGTGAATAGTTCAGTCGGTAGATGCGTAACGACACAGATTCTGTGTGAGTCCTATTCCATAGATCCATCATTCCCCCTACACTACGAGGAACGTGATATACTCTGCTCCAGGTACAGGATTCGTAGATATATCATAGAGTATCAAATTTATACCGCTTTGTCCATTCAGCTTAGGCCGGTCAGAGACTGAGGTGCAAATATTTACACCCAGAAATAGCTGACCTAGTTATCAACCCACATATGAATACGCATTTGGCTGTTCAGCATATTTTGTGGCTGCATCATCAATAACCGCCGGTGCATGTGAAAAATACTTTACTAAGTTCATAATGAATCGATCTTTAGAATCATCAAAACTCCAATCGGTACATTTTCGTAATCGTGATTTTATTTCCTTCTGTCCAACATGCCGTCATACAATCTTTCAGGAAGATAGTTGCAAGCAAGCTTTAAGACTTTACCCCCGGACCACAAATATAAATAGAGAGGCTTTGAATTGTGGTGTTGGGATTCGGTCTCCAGACCTCCCGGTTATTGTTGTGAACCTTTATTCATTTGGTCAACACTATTATCTCTTCTCGTCATTTCAGTTGCTACAATAATCAGTTTGTATGGTGGAGGCAAAATAGATCCTTAATTGAACAGACATAAAGGATAGATGGATACACAAATGGACGTTGATTTTAACCGACCACACCTCAAGCCACAGTTCTTTCGGGCGACCCTAATTTCGGTTAGCGGGTGTTTCCAGGTTCGGTTAGGTTTGGTCCCATAAACATTTGTGAGTTGAAACACTGGAACATCTGGTAATGTGTACGAGTTACACTGGTGAATCTTTCTCCATAAGTTGATTGTTTCTTTCCCAAATCTGCACGGATGAAGTGACACCAGCTTTTATCGAAGATTCTCACTCTATTTGACTGAATATCAGGCATAGTAAGGTGAAACAACGGATACTTGGGCAGATGTTGATTTACTCGGCGAAAAAATATCTCTCTAAGTACAATCCTTTGATCTCATTACTTACAGCTAGATTGCTCATTTCGGAGTAGTCGAATGATTTATCCCGATCTTGTCCAAAGACGGTAATCCAACTGTTCACCTTTTCGAAATCTGTAAAGTATAACAAATTAACAAACAAAACAAATTCATGAGTTAAGCAAAGCACGAAGACTTATTCAATATCCCAGATCCGCGAATGCCTTTGAAAAGCGGATGAAAGCCACATTACTACACTGCAATGTGGTCGGGAAAAAAGTGTTTCGTCTCACAGTCTCTGTGTTCTTTTCGTGCAAAAGAACACAACATATTGAGACCATCCATCAATTTCACAATTCAAACGGAAGAATTGCATTCTGTCGGTCTTTTCATCACACCGCTCAAAGAAACTGATCAACTGACTGATAAATCAATGAACTTCCTTCTTCTTTGACTTCTTCCAATATGAAACTGTTCGGTCTTGCCCAATCCCCCCATTGTGCACGACTGAACCAACGAAACTGGCTTAGACTATGATTGTTTTGAGTTTGCATCCGGTAACCAGCAGAAAGAGAAAAACGCACAGCGTGGATGATACATATCGGTTAGATAGGTAGATACGCGAATTCCTTGAGAAGGCGGCATTCCTGGATAAACCCTTTCAACTTGTCTTATTGAACTACCACAGTTAGTTCTACTCACTGAATCCCTCAGTCGTTCAACCCTTGACTACTTGGTTATTACATTGTTGTTGTTCTATGATATTCATAAGCCGCTCATACTAAGATGTGCGTGTATATATATGTGTGTGTTTGTGTGTGCGTGTTTGGACTGGGTTACACACGTGAACATAAACCAGAAAAATATCTACTCACTTTAATGCTCTACACTACCGAAACGATTAAATTATCTGATTCATCCGAATCTGTGGCACTAGCGTTTATCTCACTTGTGATGCACATGCCTCAGGCTGCTCCATCGGTCTTTTCAATCTACGGTTTCTCTGTTCATGCAAAACACATCATATCTTACGTGTTTCATCTTTGGCAATCATACATACACAAACACACACACGACTGAATGAAGTTACAAGCCCAGAACGACGTTTGTCTTCGCGCTCGGTCCTTTGCGAGGTGGGTCATTTAAAGTAGAAGCCTGGAAGTAGTCGCATGGTTAAGCTCGCCAGGATGTGGACGAGTTTGGGAGAGTGAGAGAGTGGGAGAAGGAAAACCCGTGGCCTGGGTGATTCTGCTAAATTTTGGTCATACGGTGGCCGGGAAAAGGTTGGGCGGTTAAGAACACCAAAACGGTCGAATAGCTAGTGAGACAGCCAGCCAGCTTCGAGGACACGATGGTGGACTATGTAATCAAGATCAAACTGCCCCCCCCACTCCGGGACGAGTTATGCGTTCACGAATGCCTCCCAGTTCATCCTCATGCTCCGCCTTCTGTCAATTCGTCCCAGTGGTCAACATTGCCAACATGAGAAATTCATTGCGAAAACACTTGCAAGATCTATATTACACGACCTGCTTACCGACCAAGATTAGTTAATAGACTGTGGCACGCACCTCGCTTGAAAGCGATTTGTGAGTGGCCGTCTGTCTGTCACACGGGCACCGAGATTTCCATTGAGATCGAGTGAGAAACGGCTGTCTGTGTGTACTCAACCGAGAAAGGTGTTAACGTGAGTTTTTCATAACTTTTCGATTTCGTAACTACGATCAATTCTGCACGCGGTCAATCGCCATAGTTGTGGGTAACATCAGTTCGGAATGATTGCCCCGACCCCGGTCTCCAAAGTGAATATTTTCATCACAGCTCTGTACATTCGTAAATGTATGCAACTCTCAGAGTATCAACAACGCGTTTATCTAATGATTGAAACATTATGGAAACCAATCGCTTATAGTGTTATTGTACCACCCACCTGAAATCTGATGCCGTTGGAGTACATAAGTTATGCACATGTTTGAGTTACCCCTGTTCACCACATCACACCTGACTGTAACTCGTTTAGCATAGATGGAGGTAAAATGTTGTTCGTGATTCCAAGGCAAGTGCATATCTGACAAGTATGTGATAATGACTCAACCATTCTGTTGCTCTGCTTCCAGTAATGTCACATTCGAAGACTGGGCTGTAATCCGTGGATCGTCTAAACCGAGAATTCCACCGGCACGTTTACCAATTGTATTTGGTAAAATAACTGGTTATCGAATTCGCCGATCGGTCATGTGCATTGTCAAAGATGGATAATCTCATTTAAATTCGACTAACATTTGATGGTCCTGATGGGTACCTAGTGGATCATGTAACTATTCACTCCTTATATGAATTCTTCGAATCAAATGGAGGCAGAATGTCAAAGTAGAATTGGTTGAATGAAGAACGACCAAAAGGAATATTAAAGTGGTTCTTAATCCATGTCCTACTGTCTAAAATTCGAACCCCATCAATGTTATTCAAACTTGGAACTCCATAATCGAGTGCACTCGGTTGATTCCCACAATAACTTTAATAGTGATTTGGCACTCGAAACATTTGTTCTCACTCTATACCGAATGTTTTTCTAAATAAAAGCAACTGTAAGGGAGAAATTGAAAAGCAGATCTGGTTCATTATCAGCAACGGTTCTAATTTGTGCAAAAAGAAGCAAAAAGCCAATATCGCAATAATGTGGGTGGAAATGTGAAATGCTAAGAAACACAAATCCAGGTATAAACGGCATAAACATTTTCTAGTGTATTCCGACCAATATCATGTTCGCCAATCCACCCCCCCCCCCNCTCCATGACAAACCGAGAGAAATTCCAATCATGTTGGTCACATTCGTTCCTCACTGGTGGGGATTTTGCGAAGAAAGATGACGAAAAAGCATTGGATCGTGGTGGCTTTGTAAAACTGTGGTGAGAAAACGACTGATCCACGACCATATCCAAATTTCCAGTTAACCCCTCTGACATACACCACCCAGTGCACCAACCGAATGAATGCACATCGAGAAAGTAACAGTAGCAGTAGCAAAAGCAAGAGGAGCAACAAAGATAACCGAAATGACATTCGCTTCGATGGCCCGAACAAACACACTCTCTTGCACAGAATCGTTATTTTGTCCGTTGTCCTTTTTTTCGGAGGGAGATAGAGACGGTTGGACCAAGCGGGAACCAGCTGTCGATCTCCAAAAAGATATTCGAACCTGGTGTTACCGATTTTCTGTTTCCGATGGTGTGCTGTTGATGTTGACGCTCTTGGTGGTGCGATACTCCCGGGGTATGGTACGACCATACGTTTTGGGGCAAAGTGTTGGTACGTCAGAAGAAGCCAAAGTAGTTGCTTGTGTGTGTGTTTGTGCAAGTTTCAGCTCGTGCACATGTGGGTAAAACGAAGTATTGGAGTGGCTATGTTTGCATCCGGTATTCAGTGGTAGTAGTTTCAAGTTCTGTTCAAAGTTTTGTGTCTCATCGATCCGTTCGTAATTAGTACGCAATTTTGTGTTTTTCAGTCCTGCATTTTCAAAAATTGGGCAGAATTGGGCCGTGGTTGAATGTTCGTCCCCGCCCACCCACCCGCCTCCCCCGTTTCCTGGTTCCCCGATAAGGCAGCAATGTACGGAGAAAATACTTCGTGGAAATCACCCGGTCAAATAGTACATCGAGGTGTTTTTAAAGATGAAGGAAAGAGATCAGCGTTTTTAGCAATATCGAATGTACCAGATATTTACAAACGACACCGACGTTCATATATTGATGTGGGTCATAGCAAGTGATCTGTCTAGTAGGTATTCCCCCTAGGGAGACTGATAATCCATGGAGAGAATTCTATTCTATGAGCTAACGGGCTTTTTCCCGTCTGTTAACTAATCAAGTTTCTTGTAAACGTGTCTGATTACCCGGATAGGTAGTAGTAGAGCGATGCGCTGCTACTGACGGATAAAATGAGATTCCTGTCTCATATAGTCTCAACGTGATATCCTTTTCTCTCCTGAAGTTCTATATTACCCCATAAAAACCTGATCTTTGGATGTAGATAAGCCCAAATTGATATCAGTTTTCTCTCATGTGTTAGTCCGGCTGAATTTTACATACATACTGTCGGTTTTGAAAGCAAGAAAAAATGCGACACTTTTTTATTCACGAAAAAACGAATTAGCTTCATATATACTGATTTTTATTTATATCTAGTACGAGTAAAAAGATGTGTCAAGAATTACTCGTAGTTTGGCAGTGAATGACTAAAGCAACCTTAATATCTGAAATACAAACTAATCTTCCTTCTTTCGTAGATGATTCTGTGGCACCGACGCATATAATGGACATTCTGATAAAATGAGCTTTCCTAAAACGAATGAGCATGTACTAAATAGGGACAGCCACGATAGGTAGTTTGTGTAAGAAACTGGAAATCAGTCTCGTTAGCAGTGTGTACTTTTTGTGTCCCTGTTGGGTTCGAACCGCGATCAGTCGGGTCGGGACTTCAAACCCTTACCCCTGATCTACACGGTCGACGGTTAACACCTTGTGCGAATGGCTCAATCAATTTAGATTATCAAGATCATCCAGAATGCCCGGTGCCTCTGAACAATCGAATGGGCTAACCCAGACTTGATATTCTAAATGGAAATCAATCTGTTTGTGGTCTTCATTTACGCTATTGTCACATTAAAGTAATCAATTAAGGATCACCATTCGAAAGCTTCACCAGCTTATCAACCGCGTTCGCATGACCACGAAAGATTTCAAACGGAAGCCGGTAGAGAAAATAATGCATGATCAGTCAACGTTGAACGATTGAAATGGTACACTTGATCGACTACATTACGGATTGCGCCAATGCGACGCACTAAAACATTCAACGTTGAAGCAGTTTGTCATGAACCATGGTCAACAACCAATCAACAATTGAATAATCCTCATTAACTGATACAGAACTGCACTATTACACAATCGCAAACTAAACCCATCTTTATCTGAAAAAAATCGCACAAACTTCTTTCTAACCGCCCGACACATGCTCACAATAACATAAGAAGTCAATAAGGTGACCTAATTTCCTTGACCACTACCTAGTTCACCTTCATTCTTCTTCGGTACATGCCATTTGTTCCACTCTGAAACAATCTGGCTTGCATTTATCGTAGTTGAAGCGGTCTGCTTTTCACTTTGTTCACAAATAAGACGATTGAATTCTTCGCATGTATCCCTAGAACTCAGACGTGTCCGATTCAGCCAGACCAAATGTTTTTTGTCATCCCCCGTTAAGGCCATCTTGCAAAGACTGATAACTGTTACTTATTTTTCCCGAGCAGTGCGAGGTCTTCACAAAGCGTGAGGCTTTATCAACCACAAACGCACACAAAAAACGTCTCAGATGAGTGTGCGAACGGGCAGTTACCCTTTGATACAGTTTTATCAGTTTAAAGGAACTGCCGATGACATTTCTACTCAGCAGTATTTCCGGTGAAGGGAACATCTTGCATGAACCGTCTCTCTGGAAGGCAGCTGACCCTTGGTGAAGAGTGAAGTCCGCAGAGAAATCATTGCGTGCACTTATCATCCTGAATACTTAAGAAAAGTACCATGAAAGTAGAGTTAAAAAAAGTGTGGTCTGAGTGCCCGACAACCGGTAAAGATTCCTTGGATAACCGGTTGCTATCGAACTGCTCGCCTTAAGTGGACAGCGTATCGGTGTTGTTGTATCAGAAAATGGGGTATGAAGTGACGAAGCTATACTTTAGCTATGTATAATAAATGAAAGAACTAGAGTCTGAATAGTGAAACGAGCTATTTGATATGANGGCAAGTTTGAGGTGATTTTCGTGATGCAAACCGTGAGTGATGCGAAGAACCTAAGCGCATTGGATGAACAAATGGAGCTGCTGCTGGAACAGAAACCAGTCTGACTTCCAGGACAACCCGTTTGAAACCTTGTTTGATTTCTCCATGTGACATCAATCACTTATAATCTATGACAGTGGAACTAATGCACTGCCCATAGAAGGCGCGCCGTTTCAACGCTGTCAGTCATCAAAAGAATCCTAACTGATTACTATACATCTAAACTATTTAAGTCTCCACAATGCTTATGATTAGCCCAGTAATCAACGGTTAATTAGAATGCCAAAGCAACTGAGTGAAAAACAAATGCGAATAAAAGCTTTTGTGATTGAAATCGCGTGAACGATGTGCTCTAGCAGTGTAACAGGAGGTACCTACTGAGACATCTGACAAAGAGAAACAAATCCTCCGTTCGACCGGTTCTGTAATTCGCTGATGCTGATCGGCAGGTGCTAAATCACGTGATCTGCATGTGTACCACAAACCGCTAAGATCCTTTTCGAATATAATACTTGTCACAGTTCAAGCTCTGCTATCAGTTTCGTAGAAAAGTGTAGATATTGTTCCTCAACAAAATGAGGGTGACAATTTTACAGCGCTTCCTACAGATTAAGTTGACCGTATGTGTAGATCTACTAACTAACCACTGGATTTCCTCTAAATAGGAGCAAAAAATGATCTGATGTCATGGGTAGGTTATATTTTTGCGTTTGACCGACTAACTCACTTCGTGAAATGAGTCCGATTCATCGGTACCGCAGATAGTAACTGCTTAAGAAGGAAGAACGTAGTAAAGACTGCACTGACTGGGATCCAGTTTTGGTAGGTTGTAGTTACCTAGAACATGGAATAGTCCCATGATCGTTAGCATGTTTTGTTAAACTCTTCGAATCACAGGATCCGTGGGATTCTCAAAATCACAATTTGGTAATCTACTCAGTCCTCAAAAGCCTTTGCACGTGCCGATTTGCCTTTTATGATTAGTACAATGAGATATTGTACGCTATTTTGTTCATGAGTTAAAATCATTTATCGTTTTAATTTTTTTCTAACTCTCCTTTTTAGGACAGTACGATTTACAAATTACCAATGTGGAACTATCTGACGAAGGATCCTACGTTTGTCAGGTGAATTTCATGAAACAGCAGTATCTCAGTCAGACTGCGGTTCTCACTGTTCAAGGTGAGTTTTCACTGTTTACTAAGGATCTACTTTGTCTTCCAATCCGTTTGCTTCATCCTGAATTTTGAGTGAAGCAAGTGTGAGCAGGATATGGGGGGTGACTAAGCTAACTGATTAAGTTAGAATACACAAGCAAAGGGTCAAAATTTGGGCAGTTTCTGTACAGCTGAAGTGCCACTTTTATTCGATTGCGAAAACTGCTATTGTACCAATAATAGCAGAATGGATTTTTCTGGACGCATTTTCTGGTGAGCTGTGAGCAATTTTGTTGTATTTCCACCTGAATGACGTTTAAGTTCATTTTCTCTCGTTGTGCCGACGGATAGCAGATAATGCTATGTACTCAATTTATGGTTTACGACTATCAGTAAAAGAATACTTGACTCTTTCGTCAACCGAGACGTTGAACAACATCACGGTTGAATTCATATGCCGGCTTCTGTGCTGTCAATGTATCCTCTAAAGTATACACACTTTTGTACTCGTAACCTGGTGGGGATGATGAAAAAAGGTGATATGGAATTGACGCTCGCAAATCAAAAGGGTGCCGGGCAACCGGAAGGTGAGCTTCGATAAACACCAGAACTGTCACTTTCCGTTGTGTATTCAATCGCCTCCCTGGTGCGTAAAATAGAGTACTAATTAAGTTGATAACGTTTGTACTTATTAAATAAGAAAGCAAACAGTGTTGAAAAGCTGAATGAGAGAGATGGAGCTGCGGCTCAAAAACATCTCAAAAAAGCAGAAGCCGTGTGTTATATCAGTGAGATGAGACTGCTTTTGTGGGATACTTTGTTAATAAAAACACGAAGCAGACTATTTTTCCATGGGAACGTTGAAATCTATGAAAAAATGGGAAATGCTACAGTCAATGCATTGTCTTCCTCGGAGCAGTATGCATTATTCAAGTTTGAAGAAACACTCATGGAAACAGACAACGATGACTGTTCCATACTTTTTGATTTTGAGCGAACAGAGACGAATGAGTTTCGTGATATCAAGTGTTTCCTGTTACCAAGCAAATTAACTCTGTATCGAGAGGCATGTCATTAACCCTATAGCTGGTTCACTCGTGTGTTACATTGTCGAAGATGCAAAGCCGTAGATCAGAGCAGATTGAGGTTCTAATTGCAGAAATCTAATAAACTCATACCTATAAAGCTTGGTGCTAGTAAAAAGGAAGCCGAAATCAATGCTATGATTTTAAAATGGTGTTCACTTAGTCGATATTGCGACATCAGTAAAAATTCAAATAATCAGGAATAGAATAGCTATCTCAGGAACTGAGACCAACGATACCATTCGCTTTACCCAATGATCAGAATATGGAGTGATCGCAAATGAAAACAGCATTAAGACATCAGTACACACATACTTCTAACTACTTACGCGACATTTGGTTGATTTCATTGCATCAGCAAGTACATATGCTCCTCATTTCCGGGCTTCGTCTCCCTTTAATTTTGTATCTTGGATCCACGACATTTTTACACACACACACACACACACATTTAAACAACGTTATCTTTTACCCATTGGTTATTTTTTCCGCTAATGAACGAAAAACACACTATCAGAATAACTGCCACGCTTACGAATAAACTTAATCCAACCGAATTCGGTGCAGCCGGGGACTAATCTCACATATCTAACCGGGGTTTGACAATTGAGTCTCTCGCCACACCTATACTTACTCTCACGCGTAAGTGATGCATTCACGCGAACGAGGCCATCAGATGCACATGTGGCGCTTAGCTGACCGGTCACAGATGTTTTTGACAATATCCGTTGATTGATTTGTCACACCGGTATCTCACAGGCTTAACACATGCGGCAAATTGATTTGTCAGATAGATACGATGGACTGAAGTTGGAAACGATTTTTTCGAGATCGATATATCTTCATGGCCAAACTTAGTGATTAGTCAACCAGAACGTTTAGAAAGCACTAGATTTGGAAGCGTCAAAGCTAAGCAGACAAAAAGGTATTGATTACTTTAGAATGTTTGCAAAAACAATTTCATAAGTTTCGAAGTGAAATATATGTCAGGTTTAACATTTCTACTAAGATATTTTCTGTTAAATTTTAAATCTCTTCATCGGCCCTTGCTGGCCCAAGATAATTTTCACATTTAGTTGGGAATGTACCACGCACGCAAATGTGCAGCTTGTCTTTATTTTAGAGACAATTAATTCCACTGGGGTAAAGCAACGTCAACGGGAGAATCTCCTGCAAACCGGGAGATTGAAAGGACCGGTTAATGCAGCGTATCACCAAAATGAAAACCAATCACCTGCTCTAAAGTTATCCACCTATTGGAAGACTATGGTAATTAAAAAACGGTCTAAAACATTAGTTAGAAGTCACAGGTTTTTAGCTTTGTAATCTCACATTCCTGATCGACCACATATGCATCACAAGAAACCAACTGTATCTGAACCAACCGTCGGGATGTTAGGACTAACCTCAGTGAAGTTTAGTATTTCAAAGCAACCTACAATCAATAATCTTTGAGTACGTATTTTGGGCGCTAGCAAGGGCCTGTAGTTGTGAGTCCTATGATATTTATTTACCTCGAGCCCATTTCGGAATCGCAATCAAGACACCTTCTTGTTGATCAAACAGAGGATTAATTTGGAAACTCGTTAAAGGTATCAGTTTATGCTTTACGCCTATTCAAACCTGAGTTCACGTAGATTTGTTTGTGTTCACAGAATCGAATCACACATCACGAACAGAAGAAAAACAAACCACTCACATGGAGGCTACTGTTTATTGTGTTTGATGTACCCACTGATATTCTACACCCCCCCTCCCCCGCTCCCCGGGGCCCACTTGGTCGGAGATGATTGACATGAATGATTTGGAGACCAGTCTCATCGGAGACGAAATATCCACGGGATGAATAAAAATCACATTGTGCGCAATCCGTTTGATTATCGAATGATCATGACAGTTTTGTGAACCCGTTCATTCATATCCTTGGCTACACGTCGCCCTTTTCTTGCCGTTCAGCAGCAATTTGTGATCTATTTCTCTTGTCCTTAGACGAATTGGTGAGACTGGCAAAGCAACAGACACAAGCCAGCACAGTGATTTTCCATGGAGACGTCGGAGAGTAGGAGGGAGATGCCATGCAACAGATCGTCACGTACACAAACAAAAAACAGCCGACTTCAATGCTAAAGACAGAAGATGTGTACTCATCAACAGGAACGTCCAAACCAGACCCACTCAGTGATTGACATATGCCTCCTATGGAGCAAAAAGGAAATTGCTCCCGAGTGCTCGTCTGGAAAGACTGAACATTTGGAGTCGGCAACAAATCGTTTCACTTGTACTCATTTTACAGCATGGTTTTTCAACGGGCACATGGATGTAAAATTGCAGCTAATTAATTGAATCACAGGAATACATATGAAAATTTCTGATTTCCTAATACAGAAAACCGGTGGTTCGGTTATAACGGTAATCTCTTGTTTGGAGTGATTAATCTGTTTTTGTCTGTTCTATACTCTGCCCTCGGTTAGTCCCCTCTGAGGCACCGAAGCTGATCCAAATTACCAAAGAAGGCAAAGGTCCGGAAGTGGAGGTCGGTGCATCCACTCCGGCCATTGTCGAGGATGGCGCTTTGCTCGTCCTCAAATGTGTCGCGCGACATGGCAAACCTGGTGCGCATTTGACGTGGCTGATCGATGGGGTCCCAGTGACCGTGGATGCCAACCGAGATGGACAAAATGGGACATTTCGATCCGGATTTGTTGGCAACCTATCCGTTCAAGTGGTACCCTCTCCGAAGTTTCCTCGGCTGTGAGTTTTACCTACAGAATGATCTGTTTCCCAAATTTGGGTTTGGTATGTTTTCAAATGGAATTCCGATTGGGAATCAAGCTTATACTCCATAGACAAATTCTCGTCAAAAGTGATGCAGCAATTTTCCCTAATAGAAACGGATAATTAAGGTTTGACAACGGAATTTCCGAATCCTACTCCATCGTGCTTGATGACGTCAATGTCAAAATCCGAAAATTCTAATGATCACCTCAATTTTATTAGATTCATTTATCACCGATGAAGCGACATCAACCTTCGCTTACACATCATTGGTTGAAACAGCAGAGTTATTATTATTTTATTGTCTGAATCCCAATCAATTGGGTCATAATGACCTCAAGTAAACAGTTCTTCAAACTTTTTCAACTAACAAAAATATAATTCTCCAGATAACTCCATATCAATATGTTTCGTGTTCCAAATCAACTAGTATGTTGCAGAAAGCATTAGATGAATAATTCGTCCAATTAAGCACAGAATATCATGACTGACTTGGGCTTGTCTAATAACAGGGTGAGCATTTCGATTGATTAGATGGTCTGTCTCTCTCTTTCTTTCTGTCTCTTTGAAATACATTTTTTGCTTTGAAAATAAAGTCCGGTAGGTGAAACAAGCTGTCTTTTTGATAAATTCATCAACGGACCATAAGAATCATATAGGGTTATTTGGGTTCGCCGATCTGGTTTTGATCGCATCAAACTAAGTACAGAACGTATGCTAAGATTGTGAATGTTATACTGTTGTTAACTCAGCGATGTCGGTAGAGAATTACATTCGTTGACGTTTTGGTTACCGTGGGTAGCCTTCCTTAAGGCAGGTTTACAATCAAGATTGTTCACCTGATGCTCATCTCGATTAGTTCGTTGGTAGGTCCCCCGGGGGTGGGGTGGGTTTCTTGATCCGAGACCACTGTGAGGTTAGAGCCTGAACGAAATGCTTTTGGTTGCATGGGAAGATTCAATGCTTGGATAGCTGTCGCCTCGGCTGTGCACAAAATGATAAACCAAAGGCATTTTGGCAGAGATGATGTCGTGTGATAAATGGTGCGGAAAGCCTGATTAACATTGATAGTGTGTCGTGTTTCCACTTTTCGCCGTTCTATTTTCACCGTGTCTCAACCAGTGGGGTTGAGACACGATAGCTGCCTCGTAGTTCGGCCAATTTAGCTCGCTCCACAGGAGCAAGGCACATGGATGTGGCTTGTGGAGGTAGTTTATCTTTGAGGTGGAACCGTAGTGCTGAGGACGTATTGAAATTCATACGCAGTTCAGCCATTGTAAATGTTTGACGCAACGCTTGATTGATCCGTCGTGTAAGCCATTCAGCCGTGTTGTCACCTTTAAACGGTAGTTGCAAGTACAGTGACCGTGTGCACAACCGGCACCCTGGTATCTCCGTTTGATGTTCATCTATGAAACTATCCGGATAACCGTTCCCCCGAAGGAATTTTTTGATGTGTTCAAGTTCTTTGGTTACGGCATAGGGAGAGAAAATTTCCCGTGCCTTCATAGCTAAGCATCCCATCAAATTTATCTTGTGTTTCAATGGCACAAAGCTATTGAAATTCACATATCGTCCCGTCCATTTCGGTTTTCTGTATAGTCTTCTCTGGAAAGTTCCCCCTGGGTTTCGGATTAGTAGAACATTCAGGAAAGGGATCCGATCATTGTTCTCCTTCTAAATAGTGAATTTGTTTGACTGTTGCCTTGCGTTGAATGTCTCCAGCACAAACTCAACGTTGGTTGCTTGGTTTTTATGAAAAATATATATAATAAATAAATAAAAATATATTTTCGCTTTCAACAAACCAAACTATGGTACAGAAAGGCCAATTCGATAAGCCGCCTAATCTGTGAAGTAACACATCACTGTTGGAGTAACCAAAACAATAAATCGTTCATTTTTCAATCGTTATTCACCGAAATAACCACTGCCCGTTAAATAGAATCAACACGTTATTTGACTTTGTGTTATTCTTACGGAATTCGTTGGGATGGGTTAACTTGATCAAGTAAATGGAGTCATATTTTAACCAATACCATAAACCTGACGCAGAGACCATCAAACAGCCCAACCATGATGAACTAGTGACGGATACTCCTAAAGGTCTATTTTAAGCTTCATTGGTAATATACATATAAAAAATAATCATGCCATTTGGTACAGCGGTTTTTGGTAGCTATCTTTTGCAAACCCATTTCGATGACAGATTAAAATGTTGGAAGCAGTATGAGCGTGAAAACAGATAACTCATGCAGACTACAACTACCAGAGAATTGAGCAGATGCACGTCCAGCACTTTTAACCGCACTCAGTCATATCACGTATTGTCTTTAACCGTCAGTTAAATTGATCGCGAGTTCTCAATCCTGGAAGTCTGTATGACCGAGTCCCTAATTCAGGTTTTGCATACTTGCATACCAGGTCGACTACTTGTTCCGTTGCAGGACCGCAACTTTCTGTCAATAAGCTCGTTGTCCCGCCTTCATGGTGCCATTTAGAAGTCTCTACAAAATTAAAATCATATTTCTCTTTTTCTCGGTTCAAGCATTCAATATGGTTAGCTTTCCCATTGCATGACATCGCTGACCCCAGAACAATCGAATCTCCTAGAAAAACTAGTTCTCGAATGAACCAAAAACAGCAGTCATCGGAGGACCCTGAGCTCAAGCCCTGACAGACATATATATATTATTTTGTTGTAAAGCACTGAGAAGTTTAACAATCTCAGAAGAATAAAATAAAGTTTAAAAATTATTTGCTTCTGATACATATAGTGCGCGCAGAAAAATTAAATGTCTGCAGCTTCTGATTATTGTTTGTACAATCATAGTTTGGATCTAAGGAAAATCAATGATTAAGCGAATTTCATAAAGCTGTAACAACTGCCCACTGCTTTCATTGGAGCTTCACCGATATATATTTCTGGAACTTCAAACACTTAACAGGAGTAAGATTGATGTTCCGATTCTATAGTTCTGAAACAAACCTATCAGAAATATATCAGCTACAAAGAAATGAGGGCCTATCTTGTTTGATCACTTACCCCTCTATAATTTTACTGATTAGGACGCCAACTCGGTTTGTGAAGATCCAGGATACTAGACTTTGCGGGACCTCTACTACCAAACCATTCAGGTATGACAAGATCCTTTAGCTAGACAAACGCTATCACGTGTAGCTTTTTGGGTAATAGAGAAGCACACTCCTTGCATCAAATCCAAATGAAGTCCGTTCCTAAATTACTTAGGTAATTCAGTGGTGTTTCACAATAAAAGCAAAACCTCCGAGCTAAGTAAAATGACCTAGGTAAGAACCGACTCAATGTTTTCACCGTGTATTACGGTAAAGAGAAGCAATATATTTACGCTCCACCAAACCTCAATACAGTTTGTAGGAACATCTTAGATCACCAATTGCATCTGGGTTATGTGTGTCGACTTCGAACGTTTTCGTTATGTCTCCTTCGAAATTTAAAGAGTTTCGTGGGTTTCTAATAGTCATCTCAAGTATGTTAGAACGTGTTGAGTGACACTCTTGGTATAATAGCTCATACATACACCGAAAAGAACCAAACTTTAAAGGGGTCTGGAAAAATGTGGTTGAAGAATTTTCGCTTCTTATCTCTACATGCGAACAAAACGAGGTTTCTCAAGCATGCACACAAACACACACATTACCACATTGTATACATTCTAGCATCTACAAGTTTGCTTGTGTGCGTGTGTATGTGTAAATATATAAACACAACCCACCTTAACCAGTAGTATTTTTTAGCACTAAAACTTCATGCATACATACATCGGTGTTCACGTGTTTGTATTGCCATGCCGGTCTGTGAATGAGTTCAAGTTTCTCAGCTCGCAGTTTTCTTAAACCACTCAAGCATACTGTTTGCATTAAAATCGCTTCCCAGAATGTGAAGTGTTTTGTATCGCCTGAAACGATTTTGCACGGTCTGCCTCAATTGGGCGTGCCACATATAGGTGAGCTTTTCTTTTGTTTCTCCTCAAGAGCGATCCATAAAACATTCAAAGGCAATAGCCTTGCTTCGGGAGCATTATTTTCCCACTGAGAATATACTATCATTGAGCCGGATAGTGTTTAATCAGCACAGTTGTTTGTTAGCATCTTGTCACTCAACTTACTAATGTGTAGTTTCGAACAGAAGAAGCCAAGTGGCTCTTCCTCTAATGCTCTCTGTTTGTTTTAACAACTGGTTGGTAATCGACGTAGTTTGCAATGATCTCACGTCTTTCTTTCTAAACCCCAGTTTTATCAATTCGCATTCTAATCCAGTACTATTTTGAACTAAGTCCGGAAGGTGGATTACAGAACGGCGGGGAGTGGACGAATTGGTAGCAAACACAGACTTAATTGCGCGCGCACACACCCATATGTCACCGGATAGAGAGCACGAGAGAAATTCGAACTCTTTTAAGGCCGAAATGAATCAACTAGTTAACACTAATTGAGGGAAATACTAAACATCAATGAGTTTTCTACTACTATTCAACTCTTTTCGGATGTTTCCTCTAATCCGCAAGAGAAACTACAGTTTTTCTAAAAAATCCTCGGTTAATAAACGGATGTTCCTCATCTCACCTCCGGTTTATCAATATCACATGATGAATTCGGGAAAGCGATGACATAAATGCACGCGTGTACTCATGCATTTACACATGTATTTTTGCATGCACCTTTGCGTGGATATATGAATGTATGTATGTATGTGTTTTTATGGATTCATTTATGTATCTATGTATGCATTTACGTATGTATGTGTGTTATTATACATATATATATGTGTATGTATGCACAGGTGTTGACCAAACCCGTGTAACACCCTGATTCTTTCATCACATTTTTTGTTCCCAAAGCTTCGTGTTTTGAACCTCATTCCAGGGTGGAATATGATAATGCCCCATATTATATTATTATTTGCACGAATATTCACCTAATTGCTTTTACTTCCATTGA